CGATTTTATAAATTGGTAATTAGGGGAAGAAAGCAAAACCCTTACCAGGTCAGAGACATACTGGAAGCTCCTTGTCTGCTTCCCATCACCATAAACAGTCAACGGTTCTTTTCTCAGCGCCTGCTCCATTCAATATTACCGATTAAACCCCATCATTTGCAACCCTTTTCATAATTTTGATAGTGTAATTAATTACCTGCGCAACGAAGTTGCTAACCACGCGGCCGTCATCGATGCACATCCTGGGGCCATACGTGTTGAATATACGAGCAATCCTGACCTGCAACCCATCCACGAAGAAGAAGACACCACCAAGTTTGCATCAGCTCTTCCTTCTCATTGGGACGTTATCAGTAATTGATTGGCTTCGACCAAACTGACCTCGACGTTGGCGCCCCTGTGGTAGTCCATTGTCAGCGTTTCAGCTGTCCGCTTTCCCTCGTCGTAACAACTCCGAACTCCTGTGTCCACATTACGACATTCCCGTCATAACCCATGTTTCCTCCGTCAAATCTACAGTCAGTAGAAGATATTATCGGGTGTGCGGTCCACCGTCATGAAGACCCGCTATTTAAGGTTTGGTCTCTGTCTGTGCATCATGGGACCAGATCGGAACCCACAGCACATGAACCGCACCATAAAAACTCCTGTTTCAACCAATTACCAATGCGACCCTACGCCCTATGTGCTAACACGTGCGCCTCTTCCCGACACGGACGAGGAAAAATCAAAACACAACCAAAGAGAACGGACAAAGTGGCTCATCAAAGAAAACGTCATCATGTCACGTTCCCGAGGTTGGCACGATCACGCGCGTTTTCAGATTCCGAATTCCGATCATAGAGGGAGTATGAACGACTGGATCAGAATAGACAAAGCGCAATGGGGACAATTGAAAAATCGGGGAGGCTACGGAAATGATTAGGAAGATAACGGGGGTATTACCGATGGGATTAACGTTGCCCCAGTAAGTCTCCACCTGCGGGTGCTGAAGAGGATCTC